CCGGAACTGCGGCGTGACATTTCTGGTATCATCTTACTAATCTAGCAATTCCAGTATTGTGACGTGACTTTTCTGGTATCATCTTACTAACTTAGCACTTTAGTAATTGCGATGTGACAATTCTGTTATCATATTACTAACTTAGCAATTACGGCATTGTGATGTGTGTTTTCTGGTATCATCATATTAACCTAGCACTTCAGGTGTTGTTATGTGACTTTTCTGGTATCATCTCACTAACTTAGCAATTCAGGTATTGCTATGTGACTTTTCTGGTATCATATTACTAATTTAGCAATTGAGGTGTTGCTATGTTACTTTTCTGGTACCATCTTACTAACTTAGCACTTTAGGCATTGTTATGTGACTTTTCTGGTATCATCTCACTAACGTAGCAGTTCAGGTATTGTTATGGGACATTTCCGGTATCATCTTACTAACTTAGCAGTTCAGGTATTGCTATGTGACGTTTCTGGTATCATCTTACTAACGTAGCAATTCCGGAATCATGATGTGTGGTTTCTGGTATCTTACTAACTTAGCACTTTAGGAATTGTTATGTGACTTTTCTGGTATCATCTTACTAACTTAGCAATTCAGGTATTGCCATGTGTGGTTTCTGGTATCATCTCACTAACTTAGCAGTTCAGGTATTGCTATGTGACTTTCCTGGTATCATCTTACTAACTTAGCAATTCAGGTAGCGCTATGTGACTTTTCTGGTATCATCTTACTAACTTAGCGATTCCGGAATCATGATGTGTGGTTTCTGGTATCATCTTACTAACTTAGCACTTTAGGAATTGTGATGTGACGTTTCTGGTATCATATTACTAACTTAGCAATTACGGCATTGTGATGTGTGTTTTCTGGTATCATCCTACTAATTTAGCACTTCAGGTATTGTGACGTGACTTTTCTGGTATCATCTTACTAACATAGCAATTCAGGTATTGTTATGTGACTTTTCTGGTATCATCTTACTAGCTTAGCGATTCCAGAATTGTGATGTGTGGTTTCTGGTATCATCTTACTAACTTAGCAGCTTAGGTATTGTTATGTGACTTTTCTGTTATCATTTTACTAACTTAGCAGTTCAGGTATTGCTATGTGACGTTTCTGGTATCATCTTACTAACTTAGCGGATTAGGAACTGTTACGTGTGTTTTCTGGTTTCATTATAGTAAGTTAGCAATTACGGAACTGTGACGTGTCTTTAAACGTTTCATTATAGTAAGTTAGCAATTATGGAAGTGTGATGTGTCTTTTCTGGTTTCATTATAGTAAGTTAGCAACTTTGTAATTGCAATGTGTCTTTTCTGGTTTCATTAGACTAATTTAGCAGCTCCGGAACTGTGACGTGTCTTTTCTGGTTTCATTCGACTAACTTAACAATTTAGCAACTGCGACGTGTCTTTTCCGGTGTCATCTAACTAACTTAGCAAATTTGAAATTGTGACATTTGTTTCCTGGTTTCATTACATTAATTTAGCAATTTTCAAATTGCGACGTGTTTTCTGGTTTCATTAATAATATCACTTATGTAATTGAGAACCTTTAACATGACCAGTAAGACTATCAGTTGTCTAGTAATCATTTTGGAAAATCAATGTCAGACACTGATGAAACTATAGTTGTATTTATCACAACAAAAACAAAAGATAAGACTACCATTTGTCTAACGTCCAACATGGATAATGATGTCAGACACTGATGTAACTAAACAACTCTTTATCTACAACATTGTGATTATTTCTGGCTTGGAGGGACTCGAGCAGTCGCCACCAATTCCTCCTCAGTCCTGAAATTTAGACAGACAGCAGACACATCAATCACCAGCGACAGCAACTATAACAGTAAAGCAATAGTATTGGCAGTAGCACATTAGCTTTTTCAACATTTTGATGCAGCTTACTTCAGCAAATTCTTCAAAACATAGCTGACATCGAGCAGACTGGCCTTCAACTGTTTCATCGTCCTTAGCAGTTGAGGATCGTCTTTCACAAATGGGCTGTTCTGAATGGTAAGTATTTAATCAGTGTAATGTTTTTAATTTTAAACAACTACTGAAATTAAATTAAAGTGTTCTTACAGTGTCCTCATCGATTGTATGATTCCAGTCTTCAATATCAGCCAGGATAGATTTCAAACTTTCAGATTCTGTCTTTAATCAATGAAGACAAACATATGTTTAATAACAGTATATGCATTGATTTATATATATATATAGACAAGAACTTTAA